GCTCTGCTGGTACACGTCCGTTGGCAGGGTGTTACCTTGCTGTGCCATGCTGGCTAACAGTGGTTGAGCACTTGGCGAGTCCCCCTTAACATTGTAACCCCACCTGGGTAGAGGGGCTGCTTGTTGACCTGACATGGATGGAGCAGGATGGTTGTATGGAGCCTTACTAGGAAGCTCAGCATCACCGTTGCTCTGCAGAGGGGTGGTTTCATTTGGGGGAGTTCCTACATTGACATCAGTGAAAGGAACGGGGTCCAATTATAGTACTTATCAGAGCTGGACCTTGAATACATTGAAGCATTTTCGAACCTTGGTTTTACTCTTACCAGTACCTTAAAAGTGTTCATTCGGGTAATTCCATGAGGTTGGGGCACAATTTGTGATGGTGTCCTTGTTACATGGGTAACTTTTACCACCTGTCATGACCTGCAGAGTAGGTCAGTTACTCTGTAAAAATAACACACACCTTTGTATTCAGCCTTGCAAGATATATGACAATGTCAGTTTGGAATCCACATGCAGGGAAATAGCTGTTCATTTTTACGGAACCCATGTAACAAATGACACCGTCACAAATTGTGCCCCAACCTCATGGGACGACCCATTCACAAAAAGGCACAAAATGTGGCCAATAGGCCCATTTGTGATTTTACAATGGCATAAAGTTAATCAATATGCCTGATGCAGCAAGATTCAATTTTTTATAACGAGTCTTACCCTTCTGAAGTTACAGTGGATTAACCATGGCTTCTTTTGTTTTCCCTCTTAATTTGCTACCGATAACCCTTACCCCAAAATGCCTCTAATGCTGTTTTCAGAGAGAGGTAACCTTGTGTGGACTTTGCTCAGTCTATTTAGATTATCTATGTGGAATTGGAAAAACCTTGTTTGTGGTGCAGTGTACTTACCACGTGAATCGTGAACCGTCTCAGAGGTAAAGTCAGAGGGAGATGGTCTCCAGTCCTGAGCAGAGGGTGCCTCATGCAATTCAGGAATGCGGAGCTGTTTACTCTGCAAGGACCGCTCGCCGGCCCTGTCAGGAACAGATGACGCCAGCTCATTCGGCTGGTGAATATCTGTTGGCACTCCACTTGCCAGGGTATTGCCTTCCCGCATGCTGCTGTCCAAAAGTGGCTGAGTACTTGGCCAGTCCCCCTTCAAGCTGCAACCCTGCCTGGGTGGAGGGGTTGCTTTTTGGCTTGAGTGGGATGGAGCAGAGTTGTTTCCTGGAGTCTCATCACTGCTGTTCTGCAGAGGGGCAGCTCTATCCTTGGAAGCTCCTACATTTACATAAGTAAAATTGGCATAATCCACTGTTGAAAAACAAAGTCTTTTATAAGTGAACATACAAATTTTAAAAATCCTGTGCACCAGAATATTACAATCAATTTTATAAATGGTTAAGTCATTTGAAGCCGAAATCTGCTAATGCTGTTGATTGTGTACGTGGTGCAACCTAAATCCCATCAGCTCACCAGGTTTAGAAGTGTGTTCATGTGAACTTGAGACCTGAGAAATGTGCTTTCCTGTAATTATGGATGGCAAATACATACACAAATACATACCGACTTCAGCTTGACTCACAAGTATGTAGATCTAACCGGTCTACACAGAATGGCACGTACACTGGTGTATATATGCCGCATGATTTCTTTTACGTTATTGAGCTTGCTAAGATCAAATACCTATATATGGCCCCTGACTGGTCCAAATTGTCTTGTGTGAGTGCAGTGCCACTGCAGTTATGGCATCTAATCGGATAAGTCTACTGTATGGGCTAGCTGATGAAGCTGGCTTACCTGTAGGGTTTGAGGCTGTGCACTCCTTGGCACTCGGGCCACCTTCCGGATTGCTGATTCGGCCAGACGGGCCATTCCCTTTCTGTGCAGCCCTGTCGTCAGAGTCATTCTTCTTCTGCCCATTTGCCATCTTTACATCACAGCCATCCCAATTTACAACACAGCCATTGAAATCTGCCTTCACTGTGAAACAGCAGAAGATGCAGTGTTAACTTGGGAAGAATAAATGACCCTTTCTGCTGTTAGGGTTGTTCACCGTTTCACTTGTGGAAAGTGTGTGAGTGGCCTGTCACGTAATTCATGCCTTAAGGTGACACCACAATAAACCATGTCACATGCTGTAACAGTTGAAATTGTGCCAAGGTGACGTATCCTTACCCAAAAGCTAATGCACGTGCAGTGTTCTCCACGAGGGGTTTCAGCAGGGCGGGCCGCCCTGCCAAAAGTTTAGATCATTCTTAATGGTTTGTCAAAAATCAAGAGAGCCCAGAAATCGACCAAAAAATACAGGGTGATAAGTTATGCTGTACGTGTGGTTCCAAATACTTGTTTCTTCACAGTCATATAAATGTTTGCATCTAAAGTAGTTTTAATCAAATGACTTTTGGACTTTCTGTGATTTGTAAATTGGCCCAAAACCAAACACAAATTTTTCCTAGTTGTGGATTACACCGTAAGTGCCGTTAGATTTTGAATGTAATTTTGTAGTTTTTCAAATACACGAGGTGGATGACTGGCCATATTTCACAAGAATGATAAGATTTTGCCGCTGGAATTACAGGATTTTTGTCGCATCATCCAATCGCGTTGTGCCGTACATGTACATGTAATCCCAAACCATCCTCTCGATGGCGAGTTCCGATCAGTAAAAACAAGAAAATGCCCCCCCCCCATATCAACTTTTGATGACCTCCCAATAACAATCTTGCCTTCATTTCAACACGAGCAAATTGATTCAAGGAGTCTAAAAGAAAGTGCCCAGGAAATACCTCAGATTGCATCACAAAGCATCTACATGTAGATACCAAAATTTTCCGGGACCCACCCCCCCACAATGGCTTTGTGCTCCGCGCTTGCATCATGTGCCGCCCTGCTATAACTTTAGGCTGTGGAGAACACTGCACATGGTTATGAGAACACTTGCTCATACTGACAAGGTACAACACTACTTCTAATGTAAAGAGGTCAGGGCTTGTGAATGCATTGCTGCTTTGAGGTACACGCTTGTTTGAACAGTTTGCTGTGGACAGGAGTAATACTATGCCCGTGATGCAACCAATCACATCTCTCAGTTGTAGTCTAGCTACTAATACACACAATTGCTAAGTGCAATGTACTCCAATGGTGAAGTCAGCAAACACAGGGTCTGTAACAAAGCACAGACAATGCTGAGTACCCAGCTCTGCAAAGCAAGTCAAGCAGCACCGAGTTTAGGCAACTGAGGACACAGGTGATTAGTCCCAACCCTTGGTGCATACATACATGTATATGCAAGCATATGAGGCAAATGCAGTACAGCTTGGGCCAAAAAAGGCCCAAGTGTCCTTCAGAATTAACACTTTTTCTGCCACTTTACACATTGATGAGATACACATGCAGTCCATTTCCCTATCATATACATGTATTTTTCTGTTAAATATCTGTGGAGGGTATATGTACCTTCACGTTTGGGATGAACCTCTTGGCACAGTTTAATTCTCCGCCAAATATACCACCAAAAGAAAGGCTGGATGAGGTTCACAATCACCAGGACAATGCTGGAAATCATCCATGCGTTGTCTTTCTCTTCTGGCTCATGTCCTTTCGTATAAAATTCAATTCATTGACCAGTCAATATATCCATGATTTATGAAAGATCCAACAACTTCATTAAAGTATTTAAAAGGTGAGGGTTGAATCAAATTTATTATCATTTTGTATTCAACATCCACTGAAATACATTGAAATGTGATGTGGTCTTTTGAGCATTAAAAATCAGAAAATAACAATAATAAAAGAAATTAAAAGACACATAATAAAAATAATAAACAAACGATACTACAAGCTGCTACATGTTAGAAAAAAGTCAGACATAACATCAAAGTTCAATCTTTATCCCTAACTGTCCTCAATCCTCCAACAGGTGAACGATTAAGGACTGCTAGGGTTAAATAACAGACTAGCCCAAATCTCTCTCAGTGGTTGAGGTGATACTCGTTTTCCTAGTTCAAGTAGGAGAAAGGAGTCTCTAGGCACTACCTCAGATTGGGCTTGCATGTAATATCTGACTGTAGCCAGCTGTTGGTATTGGTATTTTGGGCTCATATTTCTTTTAGGTTTTTACATCTTTCTCTACGGTGTAGAAGTAAAACCAAAAATTTTTGAAGTTTTCATAGTGAAGGTGGCAAGTAATTGGTTTGCGGTGGCATCGTGCCAAGTGTCACTTTTGTTTAAAAAGTACTCTCAGGCACATACTTGAAAAGGGGCCAACCACAGTTGATGTCCCCCCTTGAGGCTGGGTGCTGGAAACACTGTCAGGAATGTAAGATGGCCACTCTCCGCCAACGTTGCCAGCCGTATTTGGTGCGTCTGTTGTCGGACACTCTGGGCAGGCCGGGCAAATGGGCTGAGTGGGTGGCTCACATGGCGGGCACGGAGAGGGTGCCACAGGTGGTGCTACAAGACAACCCGTGACACACCCGGTAGTAAAAGATACTGAAGCCATGTTTGCAGTCTAGCCTTTGGAAACTACTCACTGAGACAACGGTTACGGTGTCCTACAGCCCAAAAGAAGTACATCGTCTGGTGGCCCACCAAGTGCACAAATGTACGTTGTCTTCCACCATGCTTAAAAAGTAGCAACCAAGCTTTAAACTCTGGCAGACAAGGTTAGAATTTTGGTAGCTCTGCATTTCCAGCCTCTGGAGAATTTTTCCTCACACACAAGATCATTGGAATGAAAAAGCAGTCTACGAATGTCTCCATATGCTTTCAATTAAAATGACCCCCAGGTCACAGCACAAGTGTATGTTAACGTGAAGCAAATTAGACATCACAAAAGATTTGCAGCAAAATTTCAGTCAAGTTGAAATAGGAAACGAAGTATATAGGTGTTTAAATATTGCGAGTTTACTGGGTGTATATTTGATCTGATGTCAAAATTTGCATGTGTGTCCCTTTTGTGCCAAGTACATGTACGAATTGGGAGTTAGGTGACAAGGCACATGTAAATACTAGACATGAACTAAAACACCAATTAGCAATTATTTCAATGCTTTCACCTGTCCCAACCAAGTTTATAATTCAGAGCAAGTAGTTACATGTGACCTTGAACAAGAGTACTTTTATACCCCTATGTGCACCCCTCCACGTCCCTCTCCAGAGTACATGGCTATCTGTCATGTGGGCAGATGTTTATTGTATTTGGCGGTTTGCTCCTGCAATGGCATCACTGGGCTACATGTAATTTACTCTCATGGGAGCCCAGATGATCTCAGAAATGTTCAGGTAATGTCATCCCAATAAGCAGGGACAATGAGACAC